GACATGGTCCTGCCCAAACACAGCTAAAGCAGAAAAATTGAAGCTAAATTGTTACAGATGGAAAGCCCTCTTTGGACAATATCATCAAAAAGAGAAGTGCTCATCTGGGGGAAAAATGACAGTTCTTCCCTATAACACAAAACCATTCTATCTGCATAAGGATTCCCAAGTAGTGCTCATCTGTGTTTCAAATATAAAGTAAGAATACTGTGATATTTTATGCTTGTGTAGAATGTAATAAATGCACATAGCATGTGCTGCAAGAATATTCTCTGCTATAGGGATAAAAGAAAAGAAAGAAACTCAAGCCAGTGAAGGATGAGCTGATAGCACCAACTGTAAAAATGCCCTACAGTAATTTGGTTTAATTCATGCTTCAAATGTAATAGCTTCCTACTTCTTTAATATTCTGCTTCTCTGTTAGAAAATGAGAAACTAAGAAAATAGGATTATAAAACCATTTCTAAACATAAGGGTATTATGGAAGTAGGTTAAAACAGATATGCATGCCTGGAAGACAAACATAGGAAATAGAGCTGGATGGTGTCCAGGCTATCAGCATCTGTGAATGATCCTAGTTTAGCAAAATCAAATCAGGCCACTGTGTCCCACACTATATCTACTGTCAATCCATGTAACAGAGAAGGCTATGCCAATTCAACAAAATACTAGAATAATGAACCTGGGTTACCTGTTGAAGAGAAGAATTACGTTAGTAATTTAAAACCAGTCATTTCAAGTACATCCCACAGGAATATCAGCACAAAGTCCTGGCTGTTACTGTTATATCTTAAAATTAATAGATCACTACAGGTAAAATTCAACTGACCGAGTGAAGGGAGAGGACTTTATTCTCCTTGTTAAAGAGATTAGTTTAATATACAGATGAAGATGAGGTGGGAGAGGAGTCACATTGCTTATTACTAAGTACGCACTGCATCAGAGGCCAGTCTGGAAAATTATTCTAAGTTCCTAGAATTTGTTACAACTCTTGCAGTTTGTCAGTTTTCAATTAAAAAATATTGTTTTGTTATTCTGCTCTGACAGTATAAATGTCATTGTAAATTTTTCTTTTTTAAAGACTAAATAAAACACCATACATCACTGGTGGACAACTCAGGGGCCATCAGGGTTGTGTGTGTGGCCCGTCAGACATTTTGTTTGCCATTGCCCATGCACTGGGTTGCCAGATTGCCCATGCACTGGTTTCCATTCACATAGTTCCTTACCCATATTAAAAAGTGTCTCACACACAAAAAGCAAGAGCAAATGAAATGAGGTACCCGTATTTTCCGGCGTATAAGACGACTTTTTATGCTAAAAAACATCCCCCAAAAATCAGGGGTCGTCTTATACACCGGGGCTTTTCTCGCCCCGGAGGACGCAGACTGCGGGACCTCGCGGTCCTGCCGCCCGTGTATTCTGGGGCTTTCTGGTCTGCAGACCAGGAAGATGCAGAGCAAAGCCGTGGAGGAGCTCGGGCAACTCTGCCCCAGGCGTCCTGATTTAGCCGCTGCTGAAACTGACCAGCGTTGACTACAGGAAGCCCGAGGCAGAGTTGCTCTGCCCCGGGCTTCCTGGAATCAGCTGCTGATCAGTTTCAGCAGCAGCTGACTTGGG